CCCTTAGAAGTAAGTTATAGAGGATATGCTTTGTTTTCACAATAGCCACGTCTCTCCAATATTTTGTCAACCAACGTTCTTGTTTAGTAAACCCGGACACATCACCCGGACAATACGATTAAAACCTCAAAATAGTAAAGTTTAGAGTCGGTTAATTCGAACAAAAACGACCAATAAGTTGGGTAATGCCTCACATTGATTGGAACGCGCAGAGGATTTGGTGAAATGTTCACCGTCAGCTCAAGAGTTGCTTCATTGTTAGCTTTAGCTTGTAAAGCAAAGCGACGCGTTCCTACTTTCAACTTAAAACTACTACAAAGTGACCAAACACGCAATAGGTGAGACATAACAGCGCACTTACCTTTCATGTGTTCAAGCAATCCACCTCGAAAGACAAAGGTCTTTAAAAACACACACGCGAGCAAATACGGCTGTTTTTTAGGGTTTTTTTTGGGGGGGAAGGGGGATCGTTGCAGGTACTTTTAACCGTTGATGCTAGCAATGAAGCTAACGCGGTCGACTGTAACCCTTAAAAATGAAGGGGTTGAGGAAAAGCAACCAGCTGTGCGGATTTTACACGAGAATTTAACAAAGCCCCACTTTGGATACCTCCGTTGTTGTTGCTCTTCTTCTGTGTTTCGGTAGGTTATGGGTGTGATAAAGAACCAAACGGTGCGACACCGCCACCAGCTGGTAGAAAAGCATATCTAGTGTTTACTTTCAATCAGCGGCATAAATTTGTTTAGTTTCAAAAGCATAAAACAAGCGCAGTGATAAAACAAGCGACTTCAACATGGCTGACAAAAACAGAACTTTGTTCTTAACTGTCGTTCTGTATGGAGCTCCATTAGTGCCACATATGAAGAAACGTATTGAGATAAGACTTGTTTCTGGAAAATAAACTCAGTTTAGATTTTTAGTTCAGACACAATGTCATTGAAAGAAAGTTTATCATCTATGATCACTCCTATGCTAAGAAATGAGAAATAAAAGCTATGTGACCCTTAAAACTTTGGTTTTCAAGAGATGCAGACATAAGAACAAAATATAAACTTTAGCTGAAAGCAAAAATATACATTTGACTAAAAACAATACACAAGACATCAATTTATTGCAGCAACCTCCACTATATATATTCGATCTTGAAACAAGACCTTGTTTCAGCCAAGTCAAATATTTCAACTTTAATGGCATTCCAGATGAATTATGTGACTAAAAAACTTTAAATTCCTTCTTTATAAACTGAAACTGTGCACTGTTACATTTCAGGGATTTTACACAGTGATGATTAATTATAAAAGCCAATTTGTTTGGACAAAATTTGAGTTTAATGGACTTATATGTATATTAAAACGCAATTTAAAATGTTCTTAATGCTCTGATTCTCGATCAGGACCAAATGATTGAGAAGATGGAAAAAGTCATATTTCCAATTAGCAACTTGAGACAAAACTACAGTTGAGAAAATTTACTGTACTGGAGAATTTACCATTTTAATTTGATATTTGAAATCCTAAGAAACTAGAGAACAATAGTCAACTTGCGTTAGCAAGATATATGGCATGACCACATTTAGTTGCACTGGTTTCCTGATAGAGGGATGGATGTATTAGACAAAAAGTAATTTTTTGTCTAATAAAAAAAAACATTGTGTGATTTGTGGCCTTTTTAAATAGCACAGCAATCAAGTCCAAAATACGTTTTAGCAAAAGTAATTCTAATGTTATGCCTTACGAGTGCATAATTTAATCCTGACTCTTTCGGAAACTGTTGGCTTTAAAAGTGAACAAAACATGAGAGACTTTATTTAACCTTCTCAGAAAACGCCACATGGAAACTAATCTTTCAGGGGTTCAACTCCCATAATCTTCAGAAACTTCGATGCAATGGCTATGCAAACCCATTCATGAGTCATTAATAAAAACCTGGACTATAAAATCACAAATACAACCGGATATCTCATGTTTTATAACTTCTCTAAGTTAAGTTGTGGCTCTCTGTCCTTCAGTTGGTGCTCTGTGTATTATTGTTGGGTATAACTAAAAAAAATGTATTTATATTCCAGCTGGTACAGTTCGTGCATGCTGCAGAGTTTTCCCCACAAATTTCCCGTCAGAGTTGAAATGTGACTTCTTCACTGCCTCAGGTGATCTGCTCCTCCTGGTAGGTAGAGGTGGAGATCGAGCCGTATGGATCCACCACCGTCTGGGCGCAGCGCACCACCGTCACCAGGAGGAAGAAACACAACAGGAAGAGGAAGAAGAGCGCAAACCCAAGGTCCACATCCACCTCGAAGGGTGGTGCCTGGTACAGAGGCTGGTCCATGTGGGCGACGACGATTCTCGTCAGATGAGCTCTCTCACCTCAAGCCTGGGTTTAAGAGCAGCTGAGATGATCGAGAAGACTTTAAAAAACAGAGAAGAATAAAACTCTTCTCAATAAAAGCACAGAAAGTCTTTTTATGTCATCCTAAATTGCTACCCTGAAAATTTTAGCAGTTGAATTATTTCTTTTTTTCAGTTTCTAATTTAGTCCCTGATCTGATGAACGTGATCAATGAGCTTGTCTAAAACAGATCAGATTACTGTGTGAATATCTCATCACTGCGACTGCATCTATCTGCTGATATAAATCCATGAAACTGAAGCAGAGAGACAAGAGAAGATCATCTTCACAGCCGAGTTTTATGTCCTGTGGGGAAAACAGAGCCATCATTTGTTAGAAAATACACCTCATCTCTGTTTCACTGAGAGAAAAGTACAAAAATAAAACGTCAGGCATTAAATCTGAGGATTTTATTGTTCTTTTTTTAAAACATTGGCTCATCATTTTTGGACAATTACAGAGACATAATCAATAAAGATATTGATAGAGTTATTCCTGCTGTAAGCTACATTAACTCTGTCTGTTTGTTGTGTAGAAAGTATTCCTCACTCAGTGTTTTCTTTCCTCAGCTCTGCCAAAGCAACCTGCTTTATTTAGCCCTTTACAGATTTCTTCTGTTTGGCTGCTTTTCTGATTACTGCTCTCTGTGTCCAGCATTTATTAAACGTTTTGGCAGGTTTGAAGTGTCACACAGGTGGGCACTGTTTACTTATTCGCTGACCATTTGGCTGGGAAACCAAACCCAAATGACTTTTTTATGCAAAAAAGAAAGGAAAATGTTTCAATACAATGCAATTATAGTCATAGTGCTTTACACCAGCGCAACATTCACACACGGATCAACACGTCGCCAATTGCTGCTTTGTGTTGGAATATTATTTTTTTTATAAAATAAACTTAAAATTAAGGCATGTTTATGGTTTACACCCAAATCTGGAAATGTTGTGAACACTTTTGAAAAACATTTTTCAACAAGGGCAATCTACGCATAATTACCTAATAATATATTTGTGTTTCAGAGTTGAAAGTAGATAATTTTTTAGTGAGAAGTTAAAAGTTGTGCAAAAAACATTTTCTATACAACAAACACAGCAGCAAAAAAACATCCCAGATTTTAACAGCTCTGAGATATTTTGGGTTTAAAATGACAAAAAAAAAATATAGATAGAAAACTCTTAAGTATAATTTCCAAGACATTGTATAATGGATAAATATACAAGATTTTTGTTCGTTTTTCTCTCTTTATATCTCAACTCTTTACATTAGACAATGTTGCTTTTAAACTTTCATAAATCAAATATTGCAGCTTTAAAAATGTGAACATAATTTTACATGACATTCAAACTAGTTCCTAATAAAACTAAGGAACTAGCATTATTAAAAAAAAAAATAATTTGGCCCTATAATAGGTTTCTTGATGCAGCTATCATTTGTTATGCGAGATGAAGGAGCTTTAAAAGTTTTGAAAAGTCATTTGAATTTGAATAAAAGGAAACAAAACCTATAAAAAAAAGCCATTTATTTTAGTTTCTCAATCAGCTCTGCAACATTTCAAAGCCAGTAACTCACCATCCTGGAAGTGTTGTCATCTAGGTTCTGTTTGCCGAAGAGCCAAAAGTCCAAACCTCCCAAAAGCTGTCATAGTTAAAAGCTTGTAGCACCAGAACTCTGTGCTGCTCCTTGTTAACGATGCTACACAAGACAGTAATCTGCTACCAAAGCCTTTACTGTCCTCCTCTTGCAATATCATTACAGGGAAAATGAGCAGCCCACAAATTAGCTCCTGCACTCAGGAGATACATGGATGGAAGATACACAAGCGTGCACTCACACCTCACGACCTCCCCCCGGGTGTAAAGCCTTTATTAATACTTAAGCAGGAATTGAATAACGCTCTACACAGTTCACAAGTGGATCAAACACCCCCCTGCTTTTGTTCTCCTGTCGGGAAACCTTTGGTTGGACTTCACACCGTCCTGGCTCACGCAACCGGGAGCTTTCGTTTCACAAATGTAAGAAGAAGGGGGAAAAAAAAAAAAAAAAGACAGGAAATTAAGAGAAAGAAGAGGCAAAGTTAGGAGGAAGCAGGAATACTGGACACAGAAAATCCAGGGAAACTGGAGCTGCATTAGCAATTAAATTGCAGAGCCAGATGCTGCAGCAGGGTGGAAATTGACCCCGCTGCTTTAAAATGGAGATTGTTGCATTGAGGTTGCCTGGTGGCAGGAACAGTGTAAAGTGGAGCACAGGATGGTAAAGTGATCCCACTCCATATGCAATTAGATGAGGGGAACTTCAAGCCAACAACCAAATACAGTAGAGGAGGGTGGGGTGGAGGGAATTCGGGAGTTTTCTTTTTAAAAAAAAAAAAAAAGGTAAAACTTTCCACCAGGAATCATAAAAAATGCAATCATGGCCAAATCTTCAATATTTTGAGCAGTATTCTTTTCACTCTAATAAATAATGTGTTTTTTTTATTACCTCATAATAAAATTTAGTTTTCTGATGGAAAGCGACTTTTTTTTACCTTAGTATTTGGGTCAGGATTGATTTTAAAAAAGCTAATCCACCTGATTCTTTCATATTTTAAAACCATAAAATAAAGCACAAGAATGTTATGGCAATATGATCCAATGTTTTAATATTTTGTACATTAACCAAATATTATTAGAGCTGGTATCTCATTACAAATATTAAGTTATTTCATGTAAAACTTAAATCGCGTCTTGTATTTACCCAACTGGTCGTATTGTCTACAAAATGCAAAGAAAACACAAAACAATTCCCAATGAAAAAAAATTTCAGTTGATAAATAAAATCTGTTAAAAACATTTTATCATCTTCAGAAATAAATGCAATAAAAGCAGATATTTTTCCACACAAATTTATATCATCCATGTTAGAAATGTACAACTCAGGAAGAATAAAAACACTTCAGCAGAAGCAAAGTTGTCAGCGGAGAGCTGCATGTGATTGGTCAAGAAGGCATTCGAGAAGATTTAGTTTTGCTAACAATTTAACAGTTGAAATGATGAAGGCACTTGCAAATAACGTCTCAGAAAGTGTAAACAAAAATTTGGCGTTACATTTTGTTTTGTTTTTTTTACATCTTTATTGACGAACATCTTTCTTTGTTCCTAGCTAAACCAAAAACCCTGTCAAAACAAATGAATATTCACGTGAATAAATAATTAAAAAAAATTTTTTTTGAACCTCCAAACAAATAATAATTTGAAATCTGAATCAAAACTGTAACTAAAATGATTCACTAGTTTTTCCAGTCAATACTGATCGTCTAAAGAACCATAAAGTGCATCTCAAGATGACGGAGGCATAAATAATAATAATAAAAATAAAAGCAAATGTACTAAGTGGATATGCTTTGGATTACTCCAGCCAGAAAATAATCATCATTTACTGATAACTTAATCAAACACTTTGCTCCCAAATTTAACCTTTTTGGCTGCACTAAAAGAAATAAACGATGAAAGAAAGATTTTAAACAAAACAAACATTTAAAACAAACCATCGCTCAGAAAAGCAAGTATTTAAAGACCTTTCTCCAAAGGCACATTTCAGTTTGTATGGGAGGCTAGGCTCCTTCACTCACACTATTTAATTATTATTAATTATTGTTATCGTTTCGTCTTTAATCTCGCTGGAGGTGCAACGTTTAGCCAAAAAGAGCTAGAGCGGCAGAAATGCAGCAGAAACTTTTTTTTTTTGTAACTGAATAAAACTTTGGACTTAAGGCGATTCATGGTCCATAGGAGAAAAAAAAATTAAAATAAAAAAATAAATCACAGCCAAATTTACAGTAGTGCTCATCACATCATCTCTGGCATGTGTGTTTATTTAGAGCAAAAATAAGTTAAGCTTTAGATCGACACTTCGAAGCGTCTTGATGAGCCGTGGGGACGGGAGAAACCATCCGAAGCGCCGAGTTTCCAGACAATATTCCCATCAAGAAAACAAAGTTGGAAGCAGGCGGGTCGACAAAGAGGAAAAATATAGAAGTGGACATTTGTTCTGTGTTTATGGGATCATATCGGCTCCTTTTCTATCTTAGTGTAATCCACAGAGAGGCCAAGCGATCCCCTCGGAGCTTTCTGCGTTCCCTAAAACCTAAAATATAAACGAGAGTAAATTTGAATGCGATGCCCGCTGCATGTTCTTCAGCTTCCAGATGAGGGAGCCATTGTCACCTTTTCTTTTTGTTTTGTTCATAATCACCCAGTCTCTCTTTCTGACCAGTCAGACTCTTTTCCTGTAGCTGTTGAGGACAGAGTGACCGTTCTGCACATGGCCGTTCTTCGGCTTGCTGCAGTCGTCTTCGTCGTCAGACTCCACCTCCTCTTTATCACTGCGCTCGTCCTCCACGATGCCCTGGTGCAAAAACACAAAGCAGAAAGGAAAACGTGATGAATTTTGGTCAGCTGATGTGACTTTGTTACATTGCTTTCATCAACTCGTCCACATTGTGTCCCCTTATCTGAAGACTTTGATTCATTTATTGAGTTTTTATGTCACAAATACAGGGTTACTGTCCAAAGTTCTGGATTTTCAAACAGCAGCAACAGATTCTTCCCCCTGAGCCGAGGATCTCTGCAGATCCTCCAATGCCGTCCTCTTCCCTTTCTCATAAGATGCTTTATCTGTTGTCGTTTCTGTCCTAGTGTCTCTAACAAACCTCTGACAGCTTTACAGAACAGCTGTATTTTTATTTTGGGGTGTCAGAGTGAAAGTTGCTATATTTAGATTTTTTTGTGTAAAGAAATGCATTTGAAACCACACATACACTTTATTCCACCCCCAAAAAACAAATAAATCCCAATAAGACACTGATTTCTGTTGCTTTTTCTTACATTTCCTGGCAGGAATTTGATGACCATGCGCAGGATGAGGCCCGTCCAGAAGATGTGCAAAATCAGCAGCACCACCAGCAGCCCGTTGAAGAAGTAGAAGCCGAAGAAGGTGGTATAGAGGCCCAGCGGGTACACGCCCGTTGCATATATGATCCTGGAGAAAGAACGAACAAAAGGTCCATTCAGAATCGGCGTCAGTTATCTTCTGGAGCCCGTCGAGAACGGGCCGGCAGCTCAAACAAAGAATCGTTGTTTGAAGAGGGGAGAAAAAAAAACCCTGAAAAGTTGTGAAAATGTCAACAAATTTATATTTCAAGTAGGGGTGTGCTCTTCTTTAGAGTGAAGATCGTAATCAGTGGCTGATAAAACATTAATAATAAGTTAAAATGACGTCTCAGTGATTCCTCCCACGCTGTGCGTCTCTGTCGAACAGCTGCTTTTGTGACGGTGTAGGAAGTGACATTTAAAGAATGAGAAAACTCACACCAACTTGTGTTTGGGAGAATGAATGCTGAAGGGATATTACAGTGAAGGAGCATCATCTCGAAATCAAAAACACTAAAATGAACAAAACTCCATTCTGTCATTCTCCTAAAAGTATCCAAACTTCCTGATGCGTTTGTAAATAAAATAACGACAGGAAAATATTAACTTTTAAAACTTAAGCATGAAAAATGAAATAACTCGAGGCTCACAGATAAGTCTTTGGTTGGGTTTGCACTTGAAAACTAAACAACTTGGCTGATGGTGTAGAAAACAAATGAGTTTAATTAACCTGGGATAAATATGACGATGGTAAAAGATGCAAAGAAAAACAACAAAAATATAGAAATTCAGCTCTGCTACCACCACTCACACATCCCTACTAAATAAACATTACAGTGAGTAAACGTGTGTGTGATGCATCATGCATGATGTGTTTGTTTTACCAGAAGGGGAAGATGATGAGGCGAGTGATGATGAAAACTGCAGCGAACACAGTGAAGATGAAGTTGCAGGTTTTTTTCCAGCCTGCATAGTTAAACATTTTGGCCGACTAGAAGGAAAGCAGAAGAAGAAAGGAGATTTAATTTTTTTTACCTCTAGAGGGCAGAAACTCTCTACGTACACCAAGGGTGCTCAAATGTCGCAGAAATATTATTTCTGCTGACGTAAAACTGTTCAATTATTCTACACTAAAAGATTTCTTTTTTTTTTTTTTTAATGGCAGAATGAATTGTTATTCTTCTGTCAAACAGTTAATAAATAATTCTCACACTTGTAATCTATACTTGATAATAAATTATATAACATCTAATCTTTTTTAATATTATTTTGGCTTGACCCTTTGGATTTCGCAACAATAAATTTGTGAAAAAGCATAAAAAAACAAAGATTTTTGGACTTTGGACGTGTCGTACCTCCATAAGATAGTCAGAGGCGTCATGCACCAACATGATCAAAGTCCCGGCTCGGATGTAATTGACCAGCCAGGAGAAGCTGATGAGGAGGATGGTAGCCACATGGTGAATGATTTGCTCTTTGAAATCCTTGAAAGGAAGACATAGGTGATGTTAAAAATCCAAATGCACCCAAGGATTGGCGACTTATTGATCGATCTGTAAACATTCCTCACTGAAGCAATGCCCCAGGATCCTGTTTCTTTTTTTCTTTCTTTTTTTTTTATGATTTACTCTGCAGAAAGCAGAGCACACAGCTAGAGAAGCTATGCTACATTTACGTCAAGATAAGACATTTAACTGGAAATGACTAAACAAATTCTCAGATTAAAAAGGAAATTTCAACATGGTGGCATTCTGCTGAACTTTAACCTGCTTTCTGCTAAGCCGTGTTTTGGTTTAACAGATTATCAGCTCCCACTGGTTTGAGGCTTGCAGCTTTAGCGCTTTCTGAATAATATGTAAACCTCCTGCACACATTAACCGGACATGCTACACATAAGCAGAGCAGGAGATCATCTTTACCGGGAGCTCGAACAGCCGACGGCTGCAGTCGATACAACGTGTCGGGATTTCACGAGCAAATCAATACCCAAACCTCAAAACACGGCGCAAACACAAGAGCTCATTTTCAGCCACTTAGGAAATGATCACTCTCGACGGACGGTTTCTGAGGGTGAAGGCGTACAACATCAAACTAGTCAGACACAATGCAGCTTCACTTGCCTTCCGCTTGACATCTGATGCTACGCTGAAAACCAGGGAGACGTAGAAGCCGAGTTCGATCATGTAGTACCAGTACTGGGAGGTCAACAGCGGCTGGAAAAACAGTCGAATCTCGCTCAGTAAAAGCACAGGAAAATATTCACAACTTCAGGAGAGACATTTGAATGAACAACAATTACCATTTTGGGGAAGTTTTCCCACACCAGTTTCACATCGTGGAACCACGGTTTCTTCGAAGAAGCAGAAAAAGAATGATTGAAGAAACACAACAAGGACGTTTTTAAATATTCACAAATCTACAACTGTTAGACCTGTCACAAACAACAAATCAATTAATCACACAAAAAATTTGAAGAAACTCAATTTTCATTTGCTTGATTTGCCGTTTTTCTCTCTACTTACATCAACAAGGACGGCCAGGCCAGCAAAGAAAGCAAGAAGGTAAAACATAAACCTCCAACTGGAAAAGAATAAAACAATTATCTCAGAAAATAAAAATAGTGTTTAATAGTGTATTGCTTTATGTAGCAAAACATAAAAAACTTGACTGAACGGTGTTCAGATAAGGGTAGAAAGCCACTGTTATTAAACAAGAAGAAAAATAATAGCGTAGCAAATTATTGTATTGTTTATCATATATTGTGAACAATTTCTGGTCTCAATAAGAATTTTGATTTATTGTTCTCATGATAAATTTCGGTTGATGTTAAAAAAAATAACAAAAATCTTATTTTTACCGTTGTCTCTACTATTTTTGTTCCCAGTGAGCACCAATAAATATGGATACATTTGAAAATGTGATTCAATGAAGTCTTTATTTGCAACGTTAGTAATAGAAATCACATTCCTTTAGCCATGTGGCTTCCTGAAAAAGCTTATACGAAATAAGAATGCTCTTCAAAAGCAGCATATTTGTGGTGAAGTAATAAATACATATTAGTATGTATTTATCATTATCCCAATAGCTCTACAAAATAATGTGATAAAGTTCACAATCCATATCGCCCACCCTGATGCTGGAGATCATTAAATTAACCAAACACTTAAAAAGGATTTAATAGTTATTTACTCTTCATGCCAACAAGCAGGTAAAAAAAAACAAAAACAAGCGAATCCCATGATGAGCTATTGGGACGGACAAATGGCAGCTGGGAAACAGCTGGCTTGCATTGGTTTTGTCGTTCACCAGATGTCAGTTTTTTCCTTCTTCTGCAACAGGTTTTGTGAAATGCTTCCTCCCACTTTGTGGGCGTGGCTTGCAGTTTGAAATGGAGCCACTCGTGATGAAATCATCATCTGTGCCGCGTGGAAACAAGTCGAATACGATGCAATTAAAGCTTTTATGCGCGACAGGAATTTCTCTCACAGCGGCTTTACAACAACCTCAATAAATCACGGTTGCTGTTTTACAACGGCGGCTGCTGGTGGGAGCTCAGAGCCACACTGCTTTGTGGTTTCTGTGAGAAACAACTTCCCCATGAAGTGTTGCTGCAGGGTTTGCAAGCCTGTATGTCGACACACTCGCAAGAAATGTTTCATTTGCGAGAGAACATCATGACCTCCAAAAAAATGAAATTATGTGAACAGTGGGACTCAGAAGAATTGTGGTTTTGTTCGGAGGGAAATGAAAGGATCTAGAAGCATGGACCGTTAACCAACCTTGCTTCCTGAAACTTTTTGAGCTTGCTGGGTCGGTCTTGATTCCTCCGTCGCCTGAACCACCTCTGCACCTGTCGCACCGAGCATCCCGTCTGTTTACTTAAACTCTCTATGGAGCTCTGGAGTGAAACAAGACAGCAGGGAGGAAAATCAATCCAGTGCTGCAGTCGGGTTGGACTGCACTGAACTCCCCACATCAGAACCTACAAGCAAAACTTTTATCCAGTCTTGGCATTTTTTCATGTCATATTTGTATTGATTGGATGGATGGATTGACGGACAAATAAATGGACAGTCAAATGTAAGGATGAGTGGATGGCTGAACAAATGTAGGATGGACGGACAAACAAACTGACGGATATGTGAAAGGACGGATGGACAGACGGAGAGATGAGTGGATGATTATTATGGAAAACCTTAGGATGGATAAATAAACTAAATCAACATTCACACAGCAGAACAGGGAAGAAGCTCAGCAGCTGAGAGCGCTGATGTTTGCAGTGGGAGTACCTGTGTGGGATGTTTAGATGTGCTACAGAAATGAGACTCCAGGACGGGATTAGGCGACGCACAAACACGATGCTCGTCGCTCACTCCCAGCAGAGATGCTAAAGGAAGTGCTATTGTCCTACGGAGCAGAGAAGCAGACTTAGCGTCACATTTACTAGTACTCAGAAGCAAACAAAAAAAGCCACAGAGATTAAAATGACTCACTGTTCAAATATCTGTCTGATGACGAGGAAGCAGAGCGCGACGGGGAGAACCGCCCAGAGGTCCCGAGTTTTAGGGAAGACTTTCCCATCGTGATCTTTCAGGTCATCCCAGCCGTAGCCTTCTGGGAACCAGATCCAGTCGGCCCATATCAGCTCATTTAACCGAGATAACATTCTAAAAACAAAACACAAAGGAGAGTTGAGAAAACAAAACTAAAGAAGATATTAAAATGGAGGATTTGGTCACTTCGTTGATTGACCAACAGCCATCCAGGAACCGACTGTGTATGAGTCAACTTCTTGACATCTGACCACTTCTTTTTGAAGCTGATAATTTCTCTAATGTAATAGGCAACGTGATCAAACAAAAAGGAATTGATTTGCAAGCGTTACGCAAATGCAGGGATTTAATAACAAATCAGCAGCAACAAAATGAGAAAAAGGTTTTAATTTTACAGAAAATATGATCAACATCTGCATTCAAGGTTCATAACGCTCATTGGATTCTTAATATTGTGGTTGTCTGAATCTAGAGAAGGAAATTACACAAGTAGAAGAGGATGTGGTTATTCTGTTGAGCAACATATCCAAGAAATGTCTCCTGTTATATTTCTACTCTTTCATTTTACTTGAAAGTGGTCTCAAAACAACAATATTATCATTCACTGCAATCATTTCTGGGAGAATTTATTGTCCAGAAAAAATGTGTTATCCTGACAGAAACCTAAAATTCTTCCCTGATCCGACTGAAACAGGTTTCAAGTCTCAGTGTACCTTTTGTCCATCATCTACTTCATAAAGTAATCGGATTATTTAATTGCCACCGCCAGTGGGTGGAGAGGTATTTATTTCCTTTTGAATATCTAACGTTGCAAGCACAACACTGAATTTTAATAGGTTTTAAGTGACATACCGACACCATTTTACAGATTTATTGACAAGAAAATGTATTCAAATATTATATATTTTTTATGTAAAACATTTCAGATTTTTTCACTATATTTTGTTGGTCTATCACAAAAAAACTCCAAACAATTAAGTCATCTTAAACATCTTAGTCTTTAGCAAAGTACACCAAATGTTTTGTGCTTTGTACCGAACAAACAAGAGACTCAAAGCATTTTTGGGGTGTGACTTAATCACAAAAAAATCCCCACAACAATCGCACCTGCTTTGAATTAAAACCGATCACATGCGCTCAGGCTAGATTAGAGTGAAAAATGAGCAATAAGCAGATTGGAGGGCGGGCTTTTTTCATTTGTGCATTGTGTGAAACCGTCGCTTGAATTTGAGCAGCCCCCTATGATCCGCTTTTTGTATGGTTGCGAGTCACCGGCCTTCTGATGGGAGCGTACAAACAGCCGAAGGGTCGCTTGTTAAACCGGGAGGATATTAGCAGAGGTACTGGCATCACCTCAGTGACTTGCTCGGTCAACAGAGAAAAGCTTTCCAACGCCACATCAGCAGGTTTGTAATCCGAGGGCAATTATGTAACAACCTTTGTACCAATGTTGGAGTCTCTTAAAGTTAAACTCTGCTGTTATTCTACTCGCTTCCTGCATAATAAAATGGGTCTGGAATGAGCTTCCCTTTTCTCAAAGAGATCATCAATTTGCAACCTGCTGGTCAGAACGACTCTTTCACCTGCTTCAAAAAGAACAATGAATGGCCTCGACTGATTGTGTTAAATTAGGTCAATGGTTTCAGGTTTGCAGTCGGTCCTCAGAGTTTGTTCTGGGATTTGAATGAACCTGCAGAGACACTTTCTGTCCAATGGGAGAACTGCAAACATTCCTCAAGGCCAATTAGTTGTCAAGACGTGTTTCTAGGTTCTCAAGAGCAAAATGCACTCTCTGCCTTTCGCTGATCTGAAGCGCGCACCTTACTTCAACATGCAGAAAAAGACAATTGTGAAATGAGGTAAGCGAAAGGAAATAATTCAAACATGCTATAAAGATTATGCATGTTGAATCATCCTCTGTTCTTAACCACAGAAATGGCGACAGCTAAGCGTGCACCAATGGCAGTTTTCTGGACGATTACCGATCTTTAAATCAAAACTCAAGTCAATCAAATTTTATTCATATCGCACATTTCAGCAGCAAGGCATTTCAAAGTGCTTTATATCATAAAGTTATGCAACATAGAATCAACAATTGAAACATTACATTAAGTCAAGTGCCATCATTAATTTGTAATTGATTTCGATTCAAATACACTCTGATAGGTGGGATTTTAGTCGAGATTTAAAGGAACCTGCTGGACCAGAGAGTCCGACTCAACTCTCCAGTTGATTCAGTAATAAGTCTTGGTCGACGGTGTCAAAAGCTGCTCTGAGGTCCAACAGAACCAGCACTGTGGTTCTCCCACAGTCCGTATCTTTATGGATATCATTGAACACTTTTACAAGGGCAGTTTCTGTGCTGTGGTGAGATCGGAAACCAGACTGGAAGGAGTCAAAGCTGTTGGTTATCGTTAGGAAGCCATTTAACTGTTTAAATACAGCTTTTTCAATAACCTTGTTAATGAATGGGAGGTTGGAGATTGACCTGTAATTCATCCAGATTGTTCTTTTTTTTTTTAATCAGTGGTTTGATAACTGCTGTTTTCAAAGCTTGGGGGAAAAAACCCCTGATGTGAGCGATGAGTTTACCATTTAACAGGCTGGACTTTCTTAAGGAAATGTGTGGGTAGGACATCCTGACAGAAGGAACTTGATCTTAATTGACTAATTTCTTCCTACCAGACACAACCTTCACTTTAATGATGTCTGAAACTTTAGACTGAGAATCATCTACCAACTTATCTACATCATTACAGCTTAAGGGTGAGGAAGAAGAGTAGATTTGACTAAATGTGTCTGCTATGTTTTCTGTGAAAGAACGTTTTGTGATAGTCGCCGTTTGTCCAAGTGGGTTAAAGGATGAACAACTTTTAAAGATAACAGCGAAGTGACCCGACAGGGAGACATCAGATACAAAGACATATTCATACCCTTACTGATAACCAGGTCCAGTGTGTGTCCTTGTGTGTTTGGCATGTGTTAGAGAAAAAAATCTCAAATAATATTAAAGAACTTTTTTGCCTCTCTGTCTTGGGGGTTGTCAACATGAATGTTGAAATCACCAACAATTATTAAACAATCATAATCAATGCTTATGCTATAAAAAAAATCATTCAAGTCAGTAAAGAAATTTTCCATGTATGTTGGAGTTTTGTATAAATTTTGTGTCAAAGTTCGTTTGTGACCTTTTACCTCAATTCCAAGATACTCAAGAGGTAAAATGACCCAAAGAAATTTTACTACAATTTATGGTATTCTTAAATATTGAAGCCACGCCTCCACCTTTTTTATGTTTCCTATTCCCACTTGAAAATTGTTAGTTAGGAGGCGCTGATTCAATTAGTACGGTTGGTTCATTATTGTCATTCAGCCATATTTCTGTGAGGGGTGGATCAGTGTGAGGGTTGAATTAAGACAGCTGTATTTTGTATTTCTGTATTTTGTCAATTTTCTTGATTCGATCCGGGCAGGTAATGAAGTGAGGTCTGCACAAGAGCACTGAGGAGAGACGTGCCAAGGCGAACCTGTTGATTCAGTCTGTAAATTTGAGAACCTCTGGTCCAGAAGACCATTTCTTCATAGGTTTCTTGTGAATGCAGCGAATGAGTTGAGGAGCAAAGAGGAAGGGGGAACAGGAGGGGAACCGGTCGCTCTGACTCCAGTTGATGTTCTATCAGCTTGTTTTGGAATATCGTGCTCCTGATACACGGAGGGCTCCATCCCAGTCAGATGTCCTTGAGCCTGTTCTTCTCAAGCGATGTTGTCCTTGTTGATAAAATGAAAAAGGTTTGCAGTGAGAAGCTTTATCCCATGTTTATTAAGATTGCGTCTTCCAAAAAGTGGAAAGCGCTGCCAATAGATCCAGAGGTTATCAATGAAGGTTATTAAGCTGGCAACGCAAGTTTTAATCAGCCATTTGTTTATCATGTCCAGCCTGGAGTGTTTTCTGTCTCCTGATTGGGGTGATGACAACTGAGAAATAACTTCATTTTTAATTTTCCCAAAGTGTTTAGAAGAATATAAATGTCCTTTTTCAGAATCTCATATTTTTTTCCTTTGCCAGATCATTGGCTCCAACATGCACAACTAAAGACTCAATATTTGGCTGATCAGTGGTTAGAGTGAGCACTTTGTGAGTCTCACTGTTGATGTGAAGGCGAAGTTTCACTCAGAGGCTCAGGCTGAAGTTCAAAAAATCTGTTTTTCAGTGGGATTCCCATGGAGTCAGAATGTTTTGAGGCTTTGGCTGGTCACTTTGTCCTTAGTAGCGGGGCCAGTGGAGCCATTTTGGTTCCAGCTGCTTGTTTATTTTTCTATGGCGGAGCAGTTGTTGAAGTTGAAGGTGGGTTTCGGCTCAGATTCGCTGATTCGTCCAGGTGAGCATGTGAACATGTCCAAGTGAACATGTCACATATATCATTTGCATAATAAAGTAAAATGAGCTTGATCATTTCCATCCTGATGAATAATACTTTTTGAGGAAAATTTTGTTTGCAAAGCTCCTATATTTAATTTTATTTATGGTTTTGTTTTGAGTTTTTATTTATTGTTTTTAGTTGTGTTTTATTTTGGACACTTACAATATACAATAAAGTTAAGTGTTCTTAAAAAATTATAGGATGAACTTGCATTATTACCCCATTGTCAATGAATTACTTGAAAATAGTCTCAAAACAACAATATTATTGTTTATTACGCTAATTTCTGAAACAATTCATGATCCAGTAACATTTGATGTAATCAACTATGGGGACTGAACTGAGAAATGCATAAAATAAACTAATCTATGAGGGTAAAGTCTTAGTGACCAAGCTGAAATTGTCAAAAGGTGAAGCTTTTGGATGATGACTTGATTATTATTATTTGTTTTAGGTTTAAGCATCCTTGGTTATCCTACGAGACAAGATGTGGTGGATAAAGGGAATTGTAAATATGGTTTCCTAGATTACCAGAAACATGATACAAACAGTAGCAAGTATTGAAATTCAGGAAAACTCCAGCAAGTCTGAGAAAGTTACCAAAAAGGTAGTCAAGGGCATAAAAGAAGCACTTTAAAACAGATTAATCCATGTCCGGATGTATAAGGCTGTAAATAATTACCTTTTAAGATTGTATTTTTTGCCTTGGACATCCAGCTCATCTCCAAACTTTACCACATATTTAATTCCACAGACATATTAATTCCAACATTTTTCTGGAATTTAGCAAATAGAAAAAAATCTCAAAGGGAAAAGTTTATGAAAAACAGTGCAAGAAAAATGCATGAGTCTCTTTTTATGTAGTGTGTGAAAATTTCCAGATTCAACTGTCATGAGTCCTTACACATTGTACAAGAATAGTGTAGCTACACTGGGCTGAATTAGTTAATAAACGGCAATGAAAAAATCTAGAACCTCTTCACATTCCGTCACATTACATATAATATTTATATTCATGGGATCTTATGTGACAGTAGTACCTCTTTTTTTAGGTTAAAGCAAAATACACGCTTTTCAAAATGTCTCAGAAATGTATTTAAAACTCTACAATGACACAAATCTGGATTCACAGAGCCTGAACTACACACACAACAACTCTTAATTAATTAGATGAGTTCTCAGAGTGTTGTGAAAGTGTTAGTCTGATTTCCCCTTTTTTTTTGCATGTTTGTCACACTTCAGGGTTTCAGAGCATCAAGTTTAAATATTAACCAAAGACACAAGTAAATGCAAAAGGCAGTTTTGATATCAAGCTTAATTATTAATGGAGAAAAATATATAAAAATGTACATTGCAAACTGGCAGCAATGCCAAAAGTTAATATGTTCACATCTTTCTCTGTTACAATTAAATATTTATTATACAAATAACTAGTATTTCAGATTTTTTAAAAACAAATTACATAATTTTTATTGTAACCACAAAGAACTGTTAAGATGCAATATTTGGCAGCATACTATCACTTCAATTGGCATGCATGCAAAGATTTACTAAGTCTTAGATGGTTGTAATTCTTGATATATTGAAGTCCAGGATATGAAAATATTACAACAGTCTGAGAAAGACATAAGAAATTGCTTTTCTTTTTAAACATATTTGTTTTCATACTTTAGTAGAATTGTGTTAATATTTGGGGATTTTTATGGCTATAACCTATATTCAAGTATTTGAAAATTACAAAGTACATATTGAACCTACCATTCATCAGTTCATACTTCAAGATATAAAGGACTATGTATTAATGTACTGTAATCAGTATTAGTAGAAATTATTTTTGTGTCATGCAAAGGGCACCAAAACGGGTGCAGCCCATGGGCAGACAACCTTGTAAATCCGGCCCTGATTTTTAAAACTTTAAAAATTAAGGTTTCACCCAAAATAGATAATCTGCACAGAAGTTGTTTAGGTTAAAGTTTCATTTTTTTTTTAATAAATGTAACTTACAAGTTTAAAAACAACTTTTTTCAAAACGCTTAAAAAAACAAACAAACAAAAAATCAACAGTCTTAAAAGTATCTGTGTCTGTTTGTTTTTCTTGTGTTGCTGACATGAACCAGGTTCAGGGAGCGGCAACATCCGGGACATATAGCGGAACAGACTACCTGCCTCTCGGATGGAGCCTTCAAAAAGTTACCCAACACTTAAAATACGCCGCAAACTCGAACACAAAAGAGCCTCTGTGCACATCCTCCTGATCTATGAGTGTACAAAAAACACAGAACTAGGCGTTGCAACACTTCTAGCTAATGTTTTAGAAGTTGTGAACACATAGCTGAAAGTTAGAAAACCGACTCCGGACTTAGTCACAGAGTCGGGTTTTAACGACTTTAATGAGCTTTAACCGTCTGCCTTTTAATGTTCTCCCAGTCTCTCGTCAACAAACCCCGCTTTAAAAAAACAAAAACAAGGCCTGCTAGCTAAACTTTGACGTGCAAACGTTTTCCAGCGGTTAACTTCCAGAAGATGGTGGAGGCTGTCGGCGAAGTTTAAAAACTTCCTACAAACCCTCCCGGGACCGACACGCTCGCGTTTCGCTCTAAAATTAGCCCTCTAAATTAAGTGTACCGTGATTTAGAGCTTTAAACCGCCGAGGAGAGCACGTTTCGTCGAGCAGATGCTCCTGCGTGTAACGGTGCCGCGTCGCCCCGCACTTACCTCGCGTCTCTTCGCCGTGTGCAGACAGGTAATGCGGGCTGGAAATGTGCTCATCGGGCGGTGGGTGGAATCACGGTGTCCGCTTCTTCCGCTCCTCCTCGTCCTGTGTGTCGCAGCCGGGAGGGTTTCATGAATATTTCACCATTCAAGTAGCTCCTAGTCACACATTAGTCCAGCGATTTAATCCGTTTAGTTTCCTTCTTGTGTCAAACCAGAAAAAAAAAAAATGTCGCACTTTGTTTCTTAAAATCTTCTCCCGTGTCGATTTAAATGCGGCGGGGAAATGACTTTAGAGTTGTTTTTCTGTTGTTTTTGTTTGTCCCCAACGTGGTTCTTGGTGACTGTGGCGGATCAGACACGCAGTTCTGGCGGCATAGTGGATTTTTATGGTTCGTTGTAAGATGATGGAAGAGAGGCAGGCAGGCTATTTAAAGTGACGTCCGGGTATGAGGGGTAATCCGTGCCGCCTGGAGAGTCCCTCCCAATCTGTTACAGGAAATTCAGCAGAAATCCCATGTTGTACCTTTAGAGGGCACTGTTGCTTCTGCTTCTGTTTTACCCCTTAAATTACAAGATATACTGCACCTTCAACGTATTTTCTCCCTTACAAAGTTCATATGATTCTGATGAATGCAGGGCCGGCCCAAGGCATGTTCGAGTTAAGCGGCTGCCTACTCCACCAAGTTAACGCGATAATAAAATACATTGACAAATACAAACCAAGTGGTTTTACATCTGGAAAAACAATTTCTGTTGTTGTTGTAGTTGTTACACAAATAATATGCAAATTTCTTCTTGCTGTCGTCTGCTGCCACTCTTGGGGAAATACAAAATATCAAACTTGTTAACTTGTTTACTGTAAACGTAGTGTTCTTCAGATGATGTTACTTTCAATGAGTTAAAATAATATGACATATTTAATACCATTCAGAATGTCAAAATCCAGATATTTTGGGGATTTTTGTTTATACCTGTAAGGGTAAAATCAATAGCCATAGCAACACTGGTATAGTGTAAATCCGGACAATGCTAATAACAGTAGCGTTGCTTGGTAGAGCAGCTTTGGAGTGATAAAACATCTGTTTTTGACTTGTTGGTGTGGTGGACCCTACATGGAAATCTGCTTGGGACCATTAAAAGGTTTGGACCGGCCCTGTATGGAGGCATCAACAGTTTTGTTTGGTTGCAAACAAACTAACAGACTTGCGTTCGTGTTAGGGAAACATTTCCTAAAAAAATGGGTGTTTGTGTATGAATTCGTTTTACTCCAAATGTACTGGACTGAGTGTAGGAAAAATATTAGAGCAGAAAGGTAGTATCTTGTGACTTGTAAAGTTGAATATAATTTTTCGTGCTGAAGAATCAGTGAAGGTGTAATTGTAGCCTTGTGTCTCTGAATGCTAAAAAAAAATTATTCACGTTATATTTTTCTGACATCATTGTTTTGCACCATTTGTTTTGGATCATATGGGGTAAAGCTATAAGTTCAAGAGATTTTTAAAAGTGTGATTCAAAGAATACTATGTGCACTTGTATTTAAAAATTCTTTAATACTGATTTTAAAAAAGAAAAGTACTAGTTCCACCAGCAGATTATTTCACTTATAGCAGGACTATTTTCTTACATCACAAGTGAAATAATCTGCCAGTGGAACTAGCACTTTATTTATCAATATTATAGAATTATTTACTTCAAAGAAGCTCCTATATCTTGCTGAAAAGTTACTTAGAAGTTAGTTGTGTCTTAATTTCAAGCGTTCCAGATATTTGCCCTTGAAACTAGACAAAAATACTTGGTAAGAGTTTGTTTTGCAGTGTAATAGTTTTTTTTTTAAGATATACATCTATTTATCTAGAAATTAAAGAACATTTTGATAAATATGTCCCTGTCTATTCTTGAGCAAGAACAACTTGTAGTAGGTCAAAACCAAAAACAATAAGATTGCCTCATAAAAACACCTAATTAGCTAGTGTAATATCTTGAGCTTGATTTTGTGGCTATAAATATAGTATATTATTTTCATACATTAATATAGAACACTAACTAATTTTCCAGCAAGTTATAGTGGAAAATTATGAATCTGCAGCCTTTTTCTGCTGCTATGCATCATTGCTTCAGCGGCTTTGTGTGGTACAAATAACCCGCCATACCCGGGCATGTCAAAGAAGGCCAAGGCGTGTTAAGACTCATGAGACCAAACCCAGAAGGTTTGTGGCAGACAGGCTTAATGCAAAGTGAAGCTGCGGTTACACGCGCGCGCGCGGACGCACGCACACGCACGCGCACAGCCTTTTCTGTCTTCTTCGTGCCTGACCTGAATATTTCAATCCGAAATGACAGAAAAGTGTTTTTTTTTTCTGTAAATGAGAACGTATTTACGCAAGTACTTCTAAATGCGATGAGATATGTTTCTGTTTTAATTTCGGGCACCCTACTTTGTTTTCACGTAGATTTCCGCAATACCTCTCCGGTCCCTCAGGGGGCGCTACAGATCTAAGGAATCACGCTTATGTGTTTAGAAAAAAAAAATAGAAAAGAAAAAAATTATTTTTCTTTGGGATAAAACAAACGTAAAAGCTCCACAACATATACTTTTTTTCTAAATTGTACTTTATTTTCTTTTAAAGACATATGTTTTAAAACAGCAATTGTAGAGAATAAATAAAGAAAAATGTTTTTTTTTTTGTTTTGTTACTTCCATAGGTACATTTATGCAATTAAAAACTCTATAATAATTGTGTTCATTGTTGTAAAGACCACAGGAATCTTCTCTTTTTTCCCCCCCTTCATAAATAAAAAAATGAAAGAAACTTTCACATTACCCCCGCAATTGAATGGATTACTAAATAAATTAAACGTAAAAAATCAAGATAGAAAAATTCCCAGCCCTTCCTTCCGTTTTGTTTTATTTTTAAACGAAGTGGCAGCAGAGAGTGTTACTTTTGAGAAGTTTTTAAGTCCTCCATTTTTAAACCAAGGTATATACAACGAGAGGAAATCCATGTCGCTTCCACTTTTAACCACTCCATGTTTTTACTTTACTTATAATTAATAAAACTAACTCTACATAACAATATTACCAATGGCAATCATACAGAATAGTATTTTCTTCTGCCGCCGACTGTGTAGACTGGCCTTTTCTTGGCGCCATAGACCACAAATCACACTATACATTAGAACCCTGTTCAGTAGAATAACATCATTGATATGCTTTTTTTTTTCTTAACATGTATATCTTGTTGCCGACGATAGAGTATGTACATAATATAAATGGATCCAGCTGTGGAATGATAGGAACTCTGGAGCACTTCGGATACTGTGTGGATGCGGAGTCTGTCGATGAGTTTGTTGCTGGCTTTACAGCGGTTAATGTTGTTTCTGTAAGCGCATACACGGGATACTGCTTGTTGTGAAGTGTTGCTCCTGTGCTATACGGCTGGTCAAAACAACCAAACAAGGCTGGGACGTCCCCCAAGTGGTTTTCTTGATTGACTTCTTACGTTGTCCTGAAAATTAAGAAGAGGAAGAAGAAAAAAAACAACAACGGAGGACTCTGTTAAACCAAATCACAAAAATCAACCATATCATTGTAGTTTGTTTTTTTTTTCCTTTAAAACTGCAAACTTGCAATAGACACGGGACAGTCATTCTGCTGCAAATGTGCTCACAATCTTAATCATCTCTCATCTCCTAAGCAAGGCAATTTATTTCAAAACATGCAGGGTAGGAATTCTGGTTGGAATCAGCTCTTTACAGTTTAGAAAATTGCCCAATATAGATTCTTATAGCACAAATTATGCTGCACTGTTATTTTAAGTTTACACTCAACATCTCTAATGGTCCGTGATAGAGGATGTCTCAAAAACAAGATCAATTTTCACTCCAATTGTGGAAACAATTCAGGATTAAAGCAGTAAATATAATATTATGAGTAGATAAAGCAGAATAAAGATCTAAACCTTTTAAGAAACACGGATCCTTTCACTTTTATATGCGCACAAAATAAAAAATATTACACATGAAACATAGGAAGCATGCTAACAAAATTATTAAGACGGGATAGTTGGAATCTGAACAACTAGTTCCTCCTGAAGCTGGATGTAGAAAATTTAAAATATTATGAGAGGAGTCTGGACTGCTTAACAATGGCTCAACGTTAAGTTTGTTGTTCTGAGGAGTTGTGATGAGACTAATTTATTCTGCTGGTAGTCGCTAAATGTTCTTGTTCTGCATCTCTTCAGAATTTAAATACCATGATAGTAAATTTAGAGTAAAATCAGAATCTTAAGAATGAAAAAGATTTTATAAAATCAAACTGATAGTTGATTAAAAGAAAAGATTTGGCAAATGAAAGATGATGGATGTCAATTACATGTCAATTATTGCAATGACAGCATTTGTTCTTTGAAATTAAACAAAACTTTTAGATAACAAAAAATGTACAAAATCAAATGGCTTTTCAATTCTGCATTTCTGTATTTATTCAGACATGCTAAGAGGTTCTACAAATATTTTTATGTAATAATTCCAATGTTTTCCAGACACACCTTCTCAGAGTTAAGCTTACAATATTCACCAAAAATGAAATGATGAATGAATGCAGGCTACAAGAAAGGAAGAAAAGGACGGATAAACACAAAGAAAGAAGGGAGAAGTAACAAAGAACAGAAGAAAGGAATGAAAGTGAAAGCAAAAAAAAAAGATGCTGAAGAAAAGGACACATGAAAAAGAAGGAGGAAGGACACAAGTAAGAGTACAATGAAGGAAAAAAGGAAGGACTGACTGAACACTGCAAAAACAAAAATCTTACTAAGTATCGTTAGTCTAGTTGTAGTTCAAATATCTTAATACACTTAAAATAAAACAAAATAAACCCAGAAGTAATGTTTCAGCAAGATAAAAGAGCTTGTTTCACATTAATAAAATTTTAATGCCGATAAAAAGAAGTACCAGCTCCACTGGCAGATTATTTCACTTATAACAATATTTTTTTCCCCTGCTATAAGTGAAATAATCTGCAAGTCCAGATTAGGTACTTTTTTATTAATATTAAGGGATTATTTACTCAAAAAAAGCTCCTAAATCTTGCTGAAAAGTTGCTTCTTTGTTTGGTTTTATTTTATTTCAAGTGTACTAAGATAATTGCATAAGAAACTAGGAGAAAATTATTTGGTAATGTTTTCTGTTTTTTTGCAGCGTAGAGAATAAAAAGCAGTGAGGATGGAGGGATGAAGAACAGAGTAACATACACAAAAAACCCCAAAAAGGAAGCCAATATGAAATGGAAAAGGAAGAGGAAGGAAACAAAGATGGAAAGACATAAGCAAGGACACAAGAAGATAAAGCAAAATATAAATATTTTTTCATATTTTGCCAAACACTGAAAACGCAGAAATTGATTTCCATACTCGTTATGGCTGCTACGTTTCAGAACGCCTAAAATAGTGGTATCAGTGTCAC